TTAACATATTTTAATTATTTACTCCAAGTTTAAAGATTAACTATCCTATGATTCTAGATATTCATTAAGGCTGATTTAGACGCTAATGTAACAGACATATGCGAAGCAGGATAAGTCTGAAAAACTGAAAACCGTCCATTCTACGATATCTTCTGCTATTTATGTGACATATAATTCCGTAAAAGTATAATCATGAGGCTTATGATAAAAAAAAGTAGATGAAATATTGTCAAGAAAATTTTATCCTCAGTTATTTCATTTATTTTACTCTTCTCTTTTTCATATATTTTTAAGTACAATCAATAACATATTTTAGATGGACAGATAAAACTGAATCGAATGGAATATTTGACACTTATTTTTCGAAAACAAAAAAAATACAGCAACAAATTCAACATAGGGATATTTTTTATTTTTGTAATGATGTAGTGTAAACTTTTTATATAATTCAAAAAATGTGATGTAGATCTTAATTTAAATTTATCAAATGATTAGATTTACCGAATTATCAACTAATATGTGTGACACAACATTTTTTAATCGAATTTTTCATATAAAATTTCTTGAATCCTTAAATAGAATAATATTCAATATATTTTGATCTTCAAATATACCTCCCATAATCATTATCTATCTATCTCTCTATCATGAACTATTTTATGTTGTTTTCATTGTTCGTATTCTGATTTACAACTGTGCATACACATTATCTATTCTATTTTGGTTTTTTTGTCCTTATCAATTTATTCGAAAAGAACAAAGGAGAAGAAATAGTGAAAAATGGAAAGTATTTTTTTGTACCAAGTATAAACTAATTCAATTAGATGGTTGTCATCCCACTGTGACTATATATACATCCCAACTATCAGACAAGTATAAGAAGAAGAGAAAAAAACAACAAATTATAAATTTTTTAGACTATCATAAATTTTGAATAAGATAGAATGACGTTTTCTTTTTTTTTTATTCAGCATAATTTATTTCTAAGATATCCATTTTACTATTGAGTACAATATTAGATTTTTTGCAAATTTTTCTATTTATATGATATTATTCTAGACATTAAAAATATTTTTTAATAATATTTTTTTATAACATAATAATAATAATTTTATATTTTTAGATCTTTAAATCGCGACCATATTTCCTTTACATGTTCTATCATTTTCTAGAATAAAAACTAAAGATAATGATAATATAACACATTTTTCAAATGCGTCATCATATCAATAAGATAAAAATTGATAAGATATTGTATTACGTAGAGAGATCATATGATACAATATAATTTATTATAGATATTTAGTTCATAAGGAAAAAATTATTTTTTAATGATTTATATGTATATCTATTATCTTGTTTTTAGTTAAAAACAATATTTTCATTGAATTATTTGGTAAATCAATGAAGTTCATATTGAAAAATATTGATGATCGATAATTCACATACATTAACATTATTGAATTCTACACAACAGTGAATATTTATTGATGAAGTGAGTCATGGAAAACATTTTTTTATGGAGAAATTATTGAGGAACTAAATTGAAACGTCTTTTAGTGTATGAATAAAATTCAAGTAAAAAAACGGAAACTTTGAACTCTTGGATTTTTACGGATTTTATATTGGTTTGCATGGACTGTGAAAGTTTGATATTGAAGTCTGAAATTCAATGGAATTATATGGATTTCTAAAGTCTATTAAATTCTTCAAAAGCCACAAAAGACTGCGTAAATCTCTAAAAGCTTGCATAAGTTTACGTAGATCCATAAGAGTCCATGTAAATATTTTGACGTTAAGATATTTATATGGATTTAGATACACTTTGAAAATCTATAGTTGGGACTTAAGTCTGCTTTCTCCCGCTTAATAAAATGTTAGTTATTTCCATACATGTAGAATCACACGTTTCTCCGTCGTGGAAATTCAAAATGTAGAAGTGTGAAGTCAATTTTCCATTTGGAAATGTAACTTTTAGCAGGGTAGGTTAATCATATGTCAGTTTCATGTATAGTACATCTTATTTAACACTGTTGGACTAGAAAAGGATGGTTAATAGCAGAAAAATTAGAAAAGATTGTAGTAGGAAGGATAAGGGCAATATCCATTCGTTCAATTCCTTCGATTGATTCTATCTCGAAAGTTTCAAATTCATGCTATTACCAACACTATTAAAAATTTTTGGATTTTTTTCGACATGACTTCATCTTATCTAACCTGAGCTAGTCTACTTTATATATGACTATACTATATCTTTATTCTCCCCTACTTTTAACTGATCTTCTCTTACCTTATTTAACTCAGAGCCTTGGAACAATTTTTTGGACGAAAAGTTATATACAAGGTGAAATTTTAAAAATTTTGTTGAGGAAATAGGAACATGCCATAAACTTTTCCTGCATCGATCAATTGAGATTCTTTTATCTAAAATAGTGAACAATTTGTGTTTTTTTCATGAGTGGGTTAGTTCTTCGTGTTTTGAAGTTGCGTGTTAGATCGACTATATTTGACATAACTATTCGTTATTCAGATTTATTTTCTTAATCTCAAGTTTATAGTGAAATATATTCACTCGATGTATACAGTATTTATTTATATCTAAGTTAAGAAAAAAAACATGATGTTTTCGTCATAGTACAGAGAAAATGTACGAGATTTTCCATAGTATACTGCACCTTAAAGACAATTTACATAAAAAATGGAAATCATCGAGAGTGCTGTTTGTGTACAAAATACTTGATGATAAATTAGAAACACTATCAGTTAAATAATGTTTTCCAAGTGTTTTATGTTAAAAACAGGTAAATAAGAAGAAATGGTGTAAATAAAGTTTTTCAAAAGTTTGGCACCATCAGTTGAGCACTCTCCTTTCTCTTCTTTTTAGAGTAGAATAGACTGGTGAGAAGCCACTATAGCCATACGCAACGAATTGATTATAGGCTTTTTCTGTCTATTTTTATATATCTATAGATCGGATGTGCTATTCACCAACATAAATGCTACAAAAAAAATCATGTCGTTATTCCTTTATATAAAACTTCTTTTGTTTGTTTACCGGTTTTCTTTTTCTTTTATCCCCCTCACAAAAAGAAGCAGTTCCTCCACTATGATATTTCATTTTTCTTAAACTGTACAGTTAATTTAGTTTATATTCATTTTTTTTTTATAATGAACTGCTTGAGATCTATCATTATTAATGTTATTCATTTTTTTAAGGTAATAATTAGATAATAAGAAACAGTTAAATATAGATTGTCTTCATAGGTAATCAATGTCAACAGGAAGTTCGATGTCAATAATGATGTCGTATTATCTAATAGTGACTACAATAAATACTGACGTCAGTTGGGCAAATCTGTCATATAATCAATAATCTTTCATCGATCTAAGTTTGTCAGTAGGGAAATGTTAGAAAGATGTTATTTGCAACCCAGGATGGTATAGTACTATAGTTTTTGTGTAGTTTTCAGCGAATCAGAACTATTTACATAAATGTGAGTATAACTTATAGATATTTTGTTCATCTAGAATAATGTAAGATTTTCACGCATAGTAATTACCTAATCATGACAAGTGACTCTTTTCGACATTCGTCGAAGATGAAAATTGATGATGATGCATCAGAGCCGTTGACTATATAATGTTAAACACAAAAAATGACGAATGATTTTCTTATCGTCTATTTATTAAAAACAGAAAAACAAAACAAAAACAATGACATTATCCAAAAGTCGATTCGTATTAATAAACCTTTTGTTTTGTCATATGAAAAAATGATACTTACTACGATTTATATGCTACAATTATAACTTGACTCTATCAATTAGCTATCTGAAAGTTAAGTCAGAATATTTCCGTTTTGTTTTTCGAGTTTAATACACTATTTTAACGGCAAACAATATGCAGCGCTAATAGCTAATTTTTAAACACTCTTGAGTTGACAAGTATAAACCATATGTCATAGCTGTATTATAAAAAAACAGTCCATACTAGTTATGAGTTTATTTTCTATTTTTTTACTAAAGAAAAAAAAACAGTTAGATAGATCTGTAACTCCAAGTATCCAGTGGAAATGGCATGAAACATTCTTAGGAATTAATTAGTTTACGATATAAACGATAATAGTATGATATTATGTCGAAGTTAACTTTTGTCTGTAAATTCTAATAATGTGAACTTACGAGGGAACTCCACGAAGTGATTAAACGCTTTTTGCTCGAAATCTAGTGGGTTATAGGTTATCGACCATGCTGATTACAAATACGACCAACCGGCTTCCGCATAGCCCTTCGAAGACCTGGTTTTCTAGAAAACGAGTTTTTCAGAAACCCCAGAAAATAACCCGAACCGTTCTTAATGAGGCATGGTTGTAGCCCGCACATTTCTGATTAAAATGAGACCTCGCCCAACTCTACATGACCTTTCTTTGCAAAGTTATAGAATTTACACGAAGAGCCCTAAATTAATTTCTTCTTATTTCTGTAGCTTTTAGCTGACAATGAACATTTAGGGCTTTTGTTGTAAATTCTATAACTTTGCAAAGAAAGGTCATGTGGAGTTGGGAGAGGTCTCATTTTAATCAGAGATTTGCGGGCTACAATCATGCCTCATTAAGAACGGTTCGGGTTATTTTTTGGGGTTTCTGAAAAACTCGTTTTCTAGAAAACCAGGTCTTCGAAGGGTTATGCGGAAGCCACATGGTCGTATTTGTAATCAGCATGGTCGATAACCTATAACCTACTAGATTCCGAGCAAAAAGCGTTTAATCACTTCGTGGGGTTCCCTCGTTAGAAGATCGTTTGTGCCGTATAAAATAAATTGAACTATTTTCGCCAAATATAAATTACTATATACTTTTTTTGTATTTTTTTAGGAAAGTATTCTTTCAATATAAATGAGAGTAGTATTAATTTAAACGGATGGCTCAGAATACGACAGAAAATATTACCAATACTTTGGTTTGGTCGGTTAAAACTGTAACAATATTAACTGCTTGTGCTATGATAACAATACTGACAATATTAGGTAAAAACATGACTATCTATGTGATTGTAAAAAAATATATATGTTTTGTTCATTTAGGAAACGGTCTAGTATTAATTAGTGTGAAAGTTCGATTACATACACGTAGTTATAGTGATTATTTTATTGTCAGTCTATGTTTAGCTGACTTTTTTGTGGGCATTATGGTCATGCCACTGATGACCGTATATTCACTCCATATAGATTGGCCGTTTGACTATCGTATTTGTCATATATGGATGTCTGCTGACTTTACATGTTCGACAGCAAGCTTTTTAACATTAGCATCAATGGCTTTGGATAGATACTGGGCATTGGGACGACCATATAATCACTTACGTAATCGTTCACGATCAACCGTTTTGATATTTATATTTTTATCATGGCTTGTACCACTTAGCGTCTGGCCACTTTCAATATTTCTTAGTCAACGAATAACCCACAAAAAAGAGTGTGATCATCCAGCACACCCAGGCTTCATCGTAATATTGTCCACATTTTTCTATTATATACCACTTGCATTCATGTTGATTTGTTACAGCAGAATTATTGTCAATATTAAATGTATCGAAATCTTGATTAAAGGTGAATGGGGTACAGTCAAATTTAATCCTGATGGTAGTACATCAACTGGCACCACAACATCAAATGAGGCAAAACAACAACACGGCCGCAGTATAATGGAAACATGGAATATAAGCACAATGGGAAAAAATACGAACGATAATTCAGTATCACCACCAGATTCCTCTATTCGTACATTATTAGCATATTTTACCCGACCACGCTGCAGACAACAGCAGGTATCTAATACACAACATCATCCACATATTAATAATAAGAATAATAATGGTAATAATTCGGAACAAACACCATGTATTATTCATGGTTTTACCTCGTATCGATATCATATACCAGTGAGCAACGGACATAAACTGACGGATGACGATAAAACACGAATGTTGAATGCCAGACATACTACAACACCCGGACAAATTCCATTATCTCCAAATCACACAAATGTTCAAATAACACCAACAACGTCGTTAACACTGATAAAAGCGATTCATAATGAGACTAATACGCTACGGCAAAGCAGTAATTTAATAGTATCAACATCAGCAATGGTAGTTAAACAACGTCGACGGGGTCGAAGTTCATCATCACATGGTGCCAGTACGCAAGCAAAATTTACGGGTAATAAACGATCACCATGTCAATCCATCATTAGCGAATCAAAAGAAGATGATGATCGTGATAATGATATATTATCGATTAATGGAAGTAGTCACTCGAATTTACACCGTTCGAGATTGAGTAGTAGAACTGCCAGTTTGCCATTAGCTGATTGTTTGTGCTATTTTCAACAACAGCTTCCGCCGCCGCCACCACGTTCTTACCGACATATGACTGTAACAGCTGTTAGTGATCATGAATACGCCGGATCTACCCCTTCACGTTCGGAACGTTCCCACTCACATTCTCATTCGTCTGAATATAGTGAACATTCAAGTTCGTTTGACGATGAAGAGCATCGACGTTTAAGACGAAATTGTGTTGTTCAAAACACATCATCGAGACCGTCGACATCATTTAATTCAAGTCGGTATAGTTCAAGAGCAATAGCAAATTTTATGCGCGAAAGACAAAAGGCACGTCTTAGACGCAATCAAAAAGCAAGTAGAATGTTAGGTAAGTTATTATTTTAGAATATATGAGTGATTCTGATTAAAATAGTGTTTGAGTGAAGTAAATGGTTCCGAGCATTTCTCCTTTTAAGTTTGATCAAACTTCCTATAAATATTCATCAGTATTAAACCTATACTCGCAACAAATATCATTACTTCATCTCTATTCACTTACGAGCTATAAGCAAAACATCTGTTTGACCGTTATTTCTTGTAGTTCACACGTGATTCATTCTAGAAATTGATTTTCTCTTTTTTTTATGAAACACTACATATTTTTTCTTTAGTTCGTAGCATTTTCTTATCCCGCGTACTCGCATTTGCATTATTATTATTATTATTTTTGTTTTCTTCAGCCAAATGCTTGGACAAATCAATCATCCTTTTGTTTCGTATTGACTAGTCGTATATAAAACTCATAGTGGCAATCAGTATAAACTTAGAAAATAAATTTAGATATTTCTACTGAGTTAAACAAACTTGGCAGCCATGTATGCGTCTGCTCTACTAAAGCAGAACATGGCTATAGAAAGATAAAAAGAAGTGATAGTTTGCAGACTTTCTATTAAATGTTCACTGTCGATATTATGATATTCAAATATCCAAGCATTTACTTTTTCTTTGGCTCAAATTTTTGAAAATAAACGGTACTACTTTTTTCAGAATCACTCATTATATCTCCAGTCAAATTTTATTACATGTTTCTTGTTTTATTTAGGTACACTTTTGACCGTATTCCTGGTTTGTTGGATACCTTTTGCAATCTCTTATCCATGCATAATGTTTTTCCCTAAAAAAGTTCCACAAGAAATTGTCAATCTAATTTTTTGGATGGGTTATATCAATTCTCTACTGAATCCAATATTATATGTTTACAGTAGCAGAAATTTTCGCATAGCTATTTTTGATACACTATGTTTTTGTATGAGACGTCGTCGAGCTGAAAATGGACTATATCAGGGGTCAGTGAAAAAAAAAGCAAAAAGCTAAATGGTGTATTGAAATTGTAATATTTTTATGTGTAAATATAATAAGTAAAGTCATTTTAATTATTTTTTCTAAGTATCGTTTAATGTTTTATTTTAATTTAACTTGTCAAAATGGCATGTATTGGTAAAAAAAAGTAAAGCAAAGAGATCTTCTAATCTTTTAAAACCGATAGCAATTTGCAACAACGTGTGTGTACTTTTGTGACATTTCGAAAGTGACTGAAAAGGTTTTATAATTTGACTACTATTCTGTGTGGTTATTTTTTAATAACTATTGGATCTTTTAATACATAAGATGTTAGCATATAACAAAAGTTTACCACTTTATATATTTCGAAAATATTTTTCCTAAAACAGAGTGAGAAAAACACAAATTCTTGAAGGATTACATAAACTTTAAATTAAACATTTAAGTCAATATGCTTATGTCATTCGCACTGTAAAACGAAATAGATTCGTAGTTAGTATACAAATATTATTAAGGTTACGGTCACTATTAATAGCAACTGTACAAACCTAAATATTCAATGAATTATTGGCAGTAAATACATAATTAATGGTATACAAAGATAGATCGGAGAAGTATCTAGAACGCAAGGATGTTAGTAAATCTGATACACCTGTGTGATTTTATCGTTGATTTTTCAAAGCTTGTCCTTCAACCTGAAATGCTAAATTGTCACTAGCCAAATGACAACTCGTTTGACTTGTGTTAGACCAGTAAATATGAGTAGTAGACTATTGGTCTGCAGCATATAGTCGATTTGACAACAACTAGACCATTAATCGAAAAATAATCTTATAACTACTTAAAAGCTAAAGCCTTGTCCAGACTACACTCTTTTCTCACTTAAGTATTAACTTAAGTCATGTCGAGCACACGACTTAAGTTGGAATTAATTTTTTCATCCAATACAGTTAATAAGTTTCACACTTAACTTTTGTAGTCTGGAAAAGGCCTGAACTATAGCATCCCATTTAAGTTCCAACAATTGAACAAAATCACTATAACGATGACGATCTAATTAGATGTATAAACCAATCTGTTGTGCCAATGAACAATTGTTACGTCTCCACCATCCGTTATAAAACGATTATTATAGGTAATATCTTTATATTTTCAAGAAAAACATTTTTCTCCTAAGAGAACAATCATTTACATATGCAATTCTACATATCAAGGCCCAACTAGAATTGTATTAGCAGTATGTGCAACATCAACAACGAGTGAATTGAAGTAAATTAATCCACCATCCGTCTTTTAAACGAATACAATTTGCTTCAGAGAATCTAGAAAAAATTGAAGTAAATCATAACAATTACAATAAGTTGGCATATAACCGTATTATTTTTTCATCATTGACATTATTTCTTTTTCTATTATCATTGTGATTGTAATATGTTTCTTTTTTGCATATCATTTGCGTTTTTTTTCATTCTGTTGAGCTGTGTTCCTAGTTGATTGTTTTAGTATTAATGTTTCTGTTTGTTCATGTAAAATTCTGTTCTAGTTTATCGTAATGATAATTGTAACGTCACCACAAATTATAGTAAAATGAACTGTTTGTTTATAATTTTTAGTAATATTTTTTACGGTGAAGAATCAGTTGCCGCTTTCGAAAAAACAAACTCTATAGGCGCGTAGGAACAAGGAAAAATGACGTAATTTGTGAAGTTTCCTAATTTAAAGAGTAGTGACCTCTATACTTTTAAAGTACGTCACTCTCATCCTACTTCATTAAACTGTCAAGGAATGATTAAAACATTTTATTGGTTCATTTGACAACATACGTCTTGACAAAGTGATTCATTTCTTTTCACGACAGCTTCGTGCTGAATTAATTTCTTCATTCAATTCTTAGAAAATACAGTGATTCAGCAAGTGACTTTCCTATCAAATGAATTTAATTTTACACAATAAGATTTTTTGGTTTATTGCAATTTTCGTGAATTATTCTAACTAGATTTTCTCGTGTGGGTGTGTGTGTGTGTGTAAAAATGAACGAGTATTTCCTTACGAACGACTTTATTGATGATCCGTATTTCAACAATCAGTCCGCAGCTGAATTCGAGGAAGAAGACAGCGATGAACTCATTGAAGATTGGGAGGTAATTAAATTGCAAAAAAATTAGTGTGTTTTGTGTAAGCGTTTTTTCTCACAAGTCTGAGGACAAACGATTTATAACTGTTGGCATTTGTGCTATGTCCAAAAAAGTCAAGGCAAAACCTATGGAAGAAATACTAAATCGAATAGAAACGTTTCAATTTATTAAAATCAGCATATTTCCAGGTATGATATTATTGATATTTTATATTATTATTTAAAAAATTTCTAATGAGTACTCTTTTTGGTTTATTTTAGAAGCCACAATACTAACTAAACCTGTTGAAGAATGGCCATTTTGCAATGTGTGAGTATTCTATAATTTTCTGTTCAAATAAATTCGTGTTAAACTAATTTCTTGTTCTTTTTTTTGTTTGATTTCATTTCATTCAAAAGGATTTCCATTGGCAAAAGCCCAAGAGTACTGTAAGCTACATCGGCCCTTTTTAATCAATGATCTGGATAAGCAGTGGGATATTATGGACCGGTTTGTACGAAGAAAATGGAAAAATGAAATCTGTCAAAATTAATAATGTTATTTTTTGTTTTAATTTAGAGTACAAGTACATGAAATATTGAAAGATGCTGGTATTCCACAGCCACGCTATGGTTTTATCCAGCGACCACTTACTGGTACGACAATGAAGCAACTAGTTGGTGCATAAAACTTTTTAGTAATCCTGATTGTAGTATTAAGTCAACAATTGAGGAACTATGCAAGATTTGCATTTTTCTTATTAATATTTGCATTTATATGAGATAGAAGGTCCATTCTGAGAACGATTAAGTGTCCTTCTACTGTTGGAGTATGGGAAAAAGTATCATTTTTGTTTCTTCTTTTTCATATACATATCGGTATATGTTTTGCCGAAATTAGAGTTTGATTTTGATAATTTACATTATTTTACTACTATATTAGATTCTTCTACTATCGCCTTATCAGAGCTTAATGCAAGTGAGCAAGATGATCAAATTGAAATAAATGGAGAAGTATTTCATAAACCATTTGTGGAAAAGCCTGTCAGCGCTGAAAATCACGAAGTCTATATTTATTTCCCATCGTCAGCCGGTGGAGGAAGTCAAAGATTGTTTCGAAAGGTTTGATATTCAGATTTTTAGTCAATCTAAAAGATATTCTAGTGTATTATCTTTTACTTAGATTGGTAGCCGTAGTAGTGTTTATACGGTAGAAAATACTATTCGAACTGATGGATCGTATGTTTACGAAGAATTTATGCCCACAGGTATGTCTTTTGTTTTCGTTCTTATTCTGCTACTAGAATTGGATGACTCTATGTGCAATATTTATGATTTTGAATAGATGGCACAGACGTCAAAGTGTATACTGTAGGACCAGAATACGCTCATGCTGAAGCTAGAAAATCACCGGCACTCGATGGAAAAGTTGAACGAGACGAATTTGGAAAAGAAGTACGGTAAGCAAAACAAAAAACTTTTTTATTTTTTGTCGTTGTTTCATTAAACAGATTAGATTCTTTTCTTCTTTGAATAGATACCCTGTAATACTTCGTGCTGATGAAAAGTTAATAGCTATGAAAATATGTTTAGCATTTAACGTAAGGAAAAAACTTTTCTTCACTGTTTACAGCATATTCACATCTCAAATTGTTTGTTTTTGTTTTCAGCAAACTGTATGTGGTTTTGATTTATTACGTGCGAATGGAAAATCGTATGTATGTGATGTGAACGGATTTAGTTTTGTGAAGAATGCAGTTAAGTACTATGATGATTGTGCTTCGATATTGGGACATATGATTATGCGTGAATTTGCACCAACATTATCTATTCCGTATGCATTAGCATTCCAGCCTGAAGATGCTCCATTTGTTCCAACTGTTTCTGGAACTAGGTATGCAAGTACCAACATATATATCGGTGTTTATTTATATCTATTATATTGCGATTTCTTTTAATATTAGAATGGAGCTTCGATGTGTTATTGCTGTAATACGACATGGAGATAGAACTCCCAAACAGAAAATGAAAATGGCTGTTTTACATCCATTGTAAATGTTATTTTCTTATCAGTCAATATACCATTTGTTTGAAATCATTTTTCTTGATAGATTTTTTCAACTTTTTGAAAAATATGATGGACATAAAAGTGGTCAGTTGAAATTAAAACGTCCTGGACAATTACAAGAAGTACTTGATATTGCACGAACATTATTGAAAGAGTTAGATGAAAAAAATATTGAAGTAAATTGAAAATTTATTTTATAACTTGATTGAAAAAAACTTTTTATTTTAAGAGATTTCCAAATTCATCCGAAACAAAACCAAAATTATTACAATTAAAAATGGTTTTAGAAATGTATGGACGCTTTTCTGGTATCAATCGAAAAATTCAATTTAAATATCAATCAAACACAACTGGAATTTCTTCGAAAAAGTCAAGCAGCGAAGATGGTACCATTCAACATTGTTTACGAAAAAAATCATGAATAAAAATTTGTTTTTTATAGAACTGCACGATTTACCGCCACAACCGTCTCTCTTGTTGATTGTCAAATGGGGTGGACAACTTACAGCGGCTGGAAAAAATCAGGCAGAAAAGTTAGGCGAAGCCTTTAGAAAAATGTATCCAGGAGGTCAAGGTGTGATTGGAGATCGTCCAGATGTTGGGTTACTACGTTTACACAGTACATTTCGTCATGATTTAAAAATCTATGCTTCTGACGAAGGCAGAGTACAAATGACAGCGGCAGCGTTCACAAAAGGATTGCTTGCTTTAGATGGTGAATTACCGCCTATATTAGTTCAAATGGTAAAAAGTGCAAACACAAATGGTTTACTGGATAATGACGCCGATTCAACGAAAGAACAGATACGGTACAATTTGTTTAATCTTTTATGATTATCTTAACATGACATCGTTTGGTGTATTTTAGAGTAAAAGAAACGTTACATGAATTGTTGTCAAAAGATCAAGATTTTACTGAAGAAGACTACGAGAAAGTAAGAACAAACAAAAGGCCTAGAACTAATTTGTTATTTTTGAATAATTTTCTGCTATTCAGATTGCACCATCTCGATCTCCCTCACTGGTAACATCAATGAATTTTATCAAAAATCCCGTGAAAACATGTAGAAAAGTTTATGAGTATATACATGAAATGACAATATTGATACGTTCAAAACTGCTCAGCGGTAGTTCAGGTACATCATTTTGTTTCCTCTTAATTTTGAAAATCAATGATATTTGGTGTTAGACCTTTTATATCATTCGGAAACATGGCAACTAATGTTAAGAAGATGGTGTAAATTAGAAAAAGATTTTTATAATAGTCATAAAGATCGTTTCAACATTAACAAAATTCCTGATATTTATGATTGTATTAAATATGATTTGCTACACAATATAAATGTCTTACAATTTGTTCACGCCGAGGATCTATACGTTTATGTCAAAGCATTGGCCGATATTGTTGTACCACAAGTAAATCGATTGTCAAACTATTTATTATTATCACTAGAATTTTAACATGTTTTCTAAAGGAATATGGAATAACAATTGAAGAAAAATTGAACATTGCTCGTGGCATAGTTACTCCACTGTTACGGAAAATTAGAACCGATTTACAGCGTAATCTAACAGGTTTTTGGGAAGAAGAAGAACACATTTTCAAATTAGATGGAAGGTAAGAAAGAGAGACGATCTTGTAAATAATATTCTTAGCTTTGAATTTAATCTTTATTGTGAAGTTTGCTTTATATGTTTGTATCGAACGTCCTTCCATTTTTCCCTGAATTTTTTCATTTCTTTTTCTGTCCATTTTCTTAAACCTTTTACTACTGATCTATAGAAACAAAAATAGCACCCTATGTATTTCAGTTATTTGAATCATGACAACAATAATATGAATGCTCACAGGTATAAAACTTTGAAGTATGTTGTTGTTAGTTATATGGTGTATATGCGTTGTTATTCTTTTTTTGTGATAAAAGTGTGACATGCTGTATTCAAGGTTTCGTTATAGATGATTGACGCCTAATTTGGATAGATACGCACTTACTATCGCTCTGATTCCATTATATATATATATTATATATATAAACGATTAACCGACGTTTGAGCGACCGACATTTGAGTAATAACGACAGTTCAGCACCAAGTGCTCCCCCTCACCACTCTCACCCTCATTTGAGCGACTGCATCTGAAGGACTCCAACAATTGAGCGAAGCACATCACTTATAGCTACTCACCCTCATCCACCCTTACCCTACACAGCCTCCCCCTCTAGAGATCTCTAAATAATTCAGTTCATAATCGGACGACAAAAAAATTGTTCTGATCATCGTTATCGAAGTGAATAATCATTCGACTTTCCTGATCGGCAAAAAGTCATATTGAAAAGTGTCTAATGTTGGGGTCGTTCAAATGTCGGTCGCTCAAACGTCGGGGGCGCTCAAATGTCGGTTGACGATATAAACGGTTTTTGCTGTATTTATCTATACTATTCTTATTTATACATAGTCTCATATGTGCATAGTACTGTTTTTTGTTTACGTCTTATCAATTTCAGTTTGAGGCAAACCCTATAAAAATAATTTCAGTGCGGCACGGTCGTTGACACTGGCTGGCATCGGTGCGCACCTGTTCCCAGCAAGTGCCGAACCAGTGCCGATATACTTATGCTAAAAATGTGCCGCACTGGTAAAAATTAGTGCTGCACTAAAATTTATTTAATCAGTTTTTTATTATGGTTGTTTACACTGAATTTTGTATTAGAGTGCAGCACTGATCAGTACCACATTGACATGCCAAAACCATGTGGCATTGCCTCGGCACTTCTTTTATGAGAAGAAAAAGATGAAGTCAGAAAGACATTCTAAATATGAGAAGTAGATTGTGGTGTTAATATAGACAGAGATTGACAAAACAAAATGGTGATTGAAAACAAAACTTCGGCACTGGTGTAAACCAGTGCCGATAAAACATTTTTTTTGTATGGAACTCATAAAAATATAAAGTTCTTCTGTTCGGAGTAAAAGAAATGCACGTTTGGCTATTTTCTTATTACTGGTGCTATTAATATATTGACTTTTCTAACAAAACTCTCTACAACAAAAAGAAAAATATGAAAGAAGCCACATTCTTAATAAAGGTTGTTTTTTTGTTTTATTTTAGTAATTCTAAAGGAATTCAGACACCTGGTCGACATGTTCGTACAAGATTATATTTTACAAGCGAAAGTCATGTTCATTCTCTTTTGACTATGATACGTTATGGAGGTTTAATCGATGTACGTGAAATGTTATGATAAACAATAATCATCTTATTTAATATTTAAAACAAAAAATTTTAGGCATGCAGCGATGAGCAATGGAAACATTCAATGAACTATTTAGATACAGTATCTGAGCTAAACTATTTAACTCAAATAGTTATGATGTTATACGAGGATCCTAACGAAGAGAATACTAGTGAACGTCGGGTATATGATGAAAAAAAGATGGTAGTTCGTTTTTCTCATATGGTTTTTTATTATTATTTTAGTTTCATGTTGAGCTGCATTTCTCGCCAGGTGCATATGTATGTTTTAATTCACCAGTTGATGTAAGAAAAATTTAATTTTAGACTAGTAAACATCCAAAAAGAAAAAGACATATATTACTTTAATACGTAATCTTATAGGCTGATATGCCGTATTCAAATGTAAGTGGTTGTTACGATACAGTGGTGCCGCGTGGCACCGTTTTGCCAAAAAGTACCCGTCAAGCAGCCCATTCACCTCCGCGATCACAAGACACAAACACTAGTGTTGAACAATCTCAGCAATCTACAATTAATGCATCAACGCCATGTGATATTTCAAGATCCATATCGCCTTCATCAGTATTAAAAACAAGTCTATCGCCGACAAAAATAAGTCCTCAAATGATAAAAGAACGTTCATTATCGTCTAAAAATTTATATCGAAGTCATACAGTGACTACGAACATGTTGACAGGCAAACTCAAGTCAAAGACTAATCCAGTTCACATTGATAAAAGTTTAAGCTCAACAAAACGTATGTCATTCTCATTATTAGTTTCTAGTATTTTCTACTCTTTTTTTATCGGTACAGCACTATCAATAAGATCATCTTTCTTTTGCTCCTACTCATAAATCTTATGCTAAAGACAGGCGATGAGAGATACAATTATCCATTTGTGTTTAATTTTATAACTTTTATTATTCTTTATATAGAAAATATTGATAATATGATTAAACCAAGAAGTCTTGAGGATAATGCTCCGGACGATTCAAATTTACAGCGTAAGTTGTATTTATTTTTGATTTATTTTTCGTTTTCATGTTTTTTTTTTTAGCTAGTTGTAGTTGCATGAGGCATGTGTGCCTGTCGCTAGTAAAAATTGTTGCTTATATAGTAATCAGTCAATTCTAAACTAAAACAACGAAAAATATAATAATGATAACTTCGTAGATGAAAAAAAGCAATAAAATGGATAAAAACTCGTTACTAACTTGTAAAATAGAATATTCCTATTCATATGGTGCACTTGATTTTTAGGACTAGTTAGCATTGTCAGATTCACAAGTTGCTATAAATCAAGTTTTGAACAAGTAGAACGAATCTTTTTTTGTTAGATATTTTTTACTTTGATGTACAGTTTTAGATATCGATAAAATCGTGTATCGTCGATTAAGAGGTATTTTTCTTCAATAATATAAAATCAATCCCAATGCTAAGGTGTCACCGATAACTATGTTTTTCACATGCTCGAAACAAATATTCTTGTATATTGAAAAGTTTATTTTAAAAAACAAAATAATTTCATATTCATTATTGCATGTTCATTACACTTTTTTTATTATCGTTACACTAAATTCGACAAGATTTGTACTAGTCGGTGATCAGAGGTAAGATTAGTTCGTGCTTTTTTTTGAAATTGAACCAATTTCAAGTTTCTTTTAATTTATTATTTTAAAAATATTCATTTCCGTGCAACTTTAAACTATTATTTATTTGTCTATCTTGTGAACGTTTATTAGCTTAATCAAAATTATAAAGAGCTTGTTTTGTACCGATAGTTCGTCACCTGATGTTTATAGCATGGGATTGTCACGTCTAGCAGTCTGACTTTTTACCCTATTTTCGTCTATTTGTGTTTTTTAATCTTTATATGAATGATCATTTAAATTGATCGTCTGAAGTTTAATTTGAAGAGTGTGTGTGTTTTAGAAGCAACATTACCTTACAGTCATTATAATACCATTCATGGCTCTTCACCTGAAGATCGTTATCGTAAGTTCATTGTATAACGAAAATCGTAGCATCTGTTCATAATTTACTTTTAGAACATTATGTACCATTGACAAGTTTATTCAGTACAAGAGTAATTTGTGGAGCGAAAAGTACGCCTGTAAGTTGAGTTAATTATTCTTTTCTTCCGATTTTTATACAAATTTCTGTATTCTGAAGGATTTAAACAAATTATTGGAACGAAAACAACAAGCTGGAAGTAAGTTTGGAACTTGTAATAATGATCTAATGAACATACTCATTGTTTCTATTGTTATTCTAGTCGTTTATTCGGATGTACAATATATCAAACCACTTGAAACATTGAATACAAATTTAAATTATAAAATATTAGACGAATTTATTGGAAAAATAACTGATCCGAGCGTGCGTCCTCTAACACAAGCATTAATTAAAACAGATAATTATGAATATCAAAATAGTACGTCAATATTTTCCTAACTTCGATCTACTTTAGACTTTCTTTTTGTTTAGATTCAAAACGTTTTACAGTAGAAAATGTTGAGCGTAATCTAATAAGACGTGATAAAGATGGTGAGCAATCACGAGCTCAATATCGTTTTCCAAAATTAGTCCAATTTTCAATTAGCACAATAAAAGAATCACCACATGAACCAAATGAATAAACTACAAGCTATTTTTTCTATTCGACTGTGGATTCGAATTTTAGATAAAATTATGAAAGTCTATTCAAAGAATGATTTTACTCTACTTATTTTTTTAAAAAAATCTAAGTCAAATTTAATTATTCATCTCAAATTTCTGCATACTATAGTTTCCTGTACTATTATTTTCATTCATTGTTTTAAATAATTTTATAGTTTAAGTTATTTTTTTGTTTTGTGTAACTTTTTAACAGTGTAATGTTCTATTTTTGTTAAAAAATTTTTCTATAAATATTTAGTACTCTCAATAATTGTGTTTTAATTTCTTTTTGGATGATAGAAACAGTCTTAAGATCAATATAGCTTAAATCCTTTAATTTCTGAGGATATTGTAAAAGGTTGTTTTCCCTATGTACTTGAAAACTGTGTCTGTAAACATTCTTCTTTCTCTTATTTTCTATCGTATTTCGATTCAAACTAGAATTTCTCTGAAGTGTACAAAATTCTTACTTCACTTATTTTTGCACTATTTCGTTGATTTTTTTCTGTAACTATTATCTCTAGCATGTGTATTGATTATTTTTTTATAATTTTCAGGACAATATTTTTCTTTTCTTGTTGTTTTCCTGATAGTTATAACTTAAAAATGTTGAGTGGCTGGAACTACAACATTTTTTCTCTATCATGCCCGATATTCTTTACACAGTCATCCATAAATTTTTGGCATTTTGTTTATTATACCGGGTCATAAGGCACTATTACTGATGTTTTAAATTATCGCTCTGTTTCTCTTCTTTCTGTTGTTTCCAGTTTTTGAGCGTCTATTTAAGTTAAAATTTCTTTTCGCATTTATCTAAACATTCCTTTTGTTTTTATAAGAAACAATCTGATTTTTGTCATCCTACTTTTAATGCTTCATTGTTCTTGACTTTCATCATTTCTCATTTCTGAACTGTTATGTGAAGTCAGTATTGTTTTTCGAGAAATCAAATAGTGTCTTAAAACGTTTGATTCTATATCTCATTCTTTTTCACTCGCAAAAATATTTCATTCTAATGTGAATAGTTCTTTATTTTCTCTTTTCTCTTCTTAACTTTGAAACCGGTGTCAGTGTGTTTGTATCATCGATCGTTTCTCTTTCTCTCTCCTGTTATTTCTGATGTTCTTGAAAGTAGTGGACTTGGATTGCATTTTATGTTTTCTTGAGGTTAACACTCAAAGCTGCAGAATCTGCCTGTTTGCTTTGACGGTCGTCCGGGAAAATTTTTTGAAAAATTGGAATATTGTACCTTTTTGTTTTTGTGATTTCTCAGATTCTTTCTCATGTTCAAAACTATTTTAAATTGATCTTCACATAATTCCATGTATTCAAATGTTCTGGTTCTTCTCTCTTTGAATCTCTTCCGTCAAAATCCCATTGTAGTCAAACGTTGCCCCGCTGTCTGTTGTTTCTTCTGTTCGCTGTCTTGGTACTTTTGTTTCGCACGATCTGAGATGCCAGAGGTAGTGTTTGTGTTTATCGACAAAAGCTGTGTTATTCGATTAAGTCTATCATACGTGCGGCGTTAAACCTTTTTTCGTCTGTATTCTTACTAAAATTGAATATTGTTATGTATCGTACGATGATAGTTCATTCTCTATTTTTGACTTTGTTGATAAAATTGATGATAAAATTGTTTTTCATGTTATCTTTCGCAATTTTGCCTATGATACTCAAAGTTTATCATCGTCTAAATCCTTTCTTGATGATTTATTCAATGTAATATGCTTTCTTAGGTCTTCATCACTCTACTAAATACGTCTCGTTAATAATTTCTTTTCACAAACAGTTTTTTCCTTCTACAGTCACTAACTAAAACAAACTTCTGCAGCCAGTAAGTTTGTCTTAATCATCACTGTCTTTCAAAAAAAACAACCTATTTCAATCTTTTTCACAGTAAATTGCAGTCATATTAATAGCCGATAAAAATCGTGTTTGTTGCTCCTCTGTATTCTGGTTTGTTTTATAATTTATTTTTATTTTTTATTTAACTATTAATCAGCTTTTATTTTATCCTTTATTTGTTAATATTTTTCTTCTTTGTTCTTTGTTCGAGCTATCACTTTTATATGTCTTGATTTTTGGTAATTCTTACTGAATAAAATTGATTGATCAATTGATTAACTGGTTGATTAATTGATCCACTGATTGATTTACTACAAGTAGAGATCATTAAAGATTTATCATCGATTTTCAAATATTATATTCCAGATGAAAAAGAGATGAGTTCGAATCAGCAAATTCGAATTGGTTTACCATATAAAGAAGATTTAAAAACTACTTTGACAAATTGCGAAGATCCATTTCGTGCTATTCAAGAAATTCAAGATGAAAATGGTATTGCATTACAGACAATACGACCAGCATTACCACTATTAGATCTTTTAGGCGTTAAACGTTTAGATTTTCATTTATCTGTTGTTGATGATATGAAAGAACGTTTAATTAAACGTATCAATGATTTAGCACAATCAAAATTACCAGATGATAGACAACAATTAGAATTACTATTACAAAAAAGTTTTTCTGCTATTAATTTACAACATGTAACACCCATTGTTATGGAAGTTATCAAACATATGCCAAAAATTCCAGAAAAATATTTAAAATATATTGTTGAACACGATAATATTTATTCAAAAGCACCTATTGAATTAAAACGTCATATATGGCAAGATAATCAACAATTATTCCAAAAAGAATTACAACCACTTATTCAACAGTATTTGATCAATGTTGATGAACAACTGTTTACAAATGAATATCAAAATTATTTTTTACAACAACCAAAAACACGACGACAAACATCGACTACTATTCAACAATTATTAAATATGATTGGACCAAATATTAAACTTTATGATATTGTTCGAAATTCATTACAAAAATTATATTTACGTACAAAAAATTCACATTATTCATCATTACGTACTCTTTTGTTAATGGCATTTCATGATTTAGAAAATAATATCGTATCAAAAACAGATTCTATTCATATATTTGTATGGACATTGGATGCATCACTTAAAGAACGTAAATTAGATTTAAAACGGACAAGAGAACTTGAACAATTTATAGATGCAAATTCAAAAGATATGGATATGTTAAATAAACATATACCATTTGTATTAGCTGATCCAAATATCATTAATATTTTAACAAAAACAGCTATTTTATTAATATATAAACAATTAGATGATGAAATACCTTTACCAAGAAATAATAAAGAATTACATTTTATTTTACGTCTACTCAATATTGGTGTATATGCTTGTAAGTATGAATAATAATTATATATTTGTTATTTGTTTAATATCTATACTTGAGTATATTTTGTAGTTTTTAATTTTGATTCATATTAAGTTCGTTATTCTATTTTATATATTAGGGGAAATATTAGATGGTCAAATGACAACTGAAGATAGTATTGATCTTAAAATTTTAACACAATTTTTGCCATTTATTCTTCGTTTAATGATGGAAAATCGTTTACATGAAATGCAACATGATACAACATTAATTACAACCCAATTAAAAACAAGTTTAAATAAAATTGAATTTATTCAATATATGCATAATAATCGTCTTGCATCTAATTTATTTTTATGTTTTATTGTTATTCTATTTAATCATCGACATTTATGGTTAGCAATTCAACTAATACCAACATTAAACGAATTGAGTGATTGTGGTTCAACTGATAAAATATTTCTACATCAGTTTGTATATTTTATTAAACAATCAATTGAACAACAATTTCAACAAATATCTCATCAACAACAATTATATCAGTATATTACACATATATTTGAAAAATTTTTCATAATACAATCATCCAATGAGATTGTTTTACATTATTCATATATACTACTAAAATATGTTTATGGAAAAATAACGTCGAGTTTGACACAAAAATTTTTAACAGCCTTAAAACCGTCCAAAGAACATTCACAAGAAACACACGATAAATATCGATCATTAACAAATGAATATGAAGATTTTCGTCGATTACAACAACAACAATCTCAATCGTAATTATATAACAATAACAAAAAATGGTGAATAAAATATTATCAATTCCACTTATCCTGTACCATATTAACTTTTCAAAATGCGATGAGAATTGATTTAACTTGAGGCTATGAGATCTTTCACTATTTCTTTCTTTACAATGTCATTAGATTAATTTTTTTTTTGTGTTAATATTATACAGATAATTTTTCTGTTTTCCTCGTTTTATATTATCGTTTCATTCGAAACAATGTTTGAGGCAATGAAAATTTTGTCTCATAACAAACGTTCTTTGTTTTATCTATAGCTGCTGTAATGAGATAGGCATTTTTCTTTATCACCAAGCTTCAACTAACATTTACTAGGAGTTTTTAAACTGAAACTATTGTGATATTTGTCATACAGTATTCCTACTCTACAATTCTTAGAATGAATAACAAGCGAAATCTATCTAATGAGTTTATAGGACGAAAATCGCTAGAAAACTGGAAAATTCTATTATCTTAAAAACATCTTTGATAGACCGTGTCGTATCTGCAAGCTCTCTAAAACATGGTCTATATACTTGATTCCACTCACTTTTTTACGTGGATTCCTAATGCCACATTTATTTTGCAATGAGATTTTGTTATTGTAACTAAAATCTGCAAAAATGTATGTCTTCTTTATCTGACTTATTTTGTTCTCTTTATTTTGAATAGGTTGACCTTAATAGTCTCTGAACAAATATTATAAAATAATATTGTTAATATCGATAAAAAGAAGATGAACAGAATTGAAAAATAACCACATCAATGGCATCATCGAACAATTCAAAACAGTTTCAGTTTAAAAACCGCAATGCTTATCCATTACCACACTTTGACTCATCTAACAGACCTTTAAATAATCATTTAATATCACCATCACATTTGTTATTATCACAGCGTTCAAAATCATTTGAAAGAGATTTAGATCAAGACTCTATTCCATTTTCTAAAGCAACTTTTGCTTCTAATCGAAATGCATTTTCACCACCACCACCATCATCTATTTCATCTATTAAAAATAATTTGACGATAACAGCACAAGAAAAAACACCTGTTGCTACTTTAAGAGTATTATTTGACACAAATGACGTAACAAAGGTAGAGAGATCAGTTGTACATGAAAATAATCAACGAACAAAATTGACACATCGTTCGCCTCCGCCACCACCAACAACAGTCACCTCGATTAGTAATTCAATCAGTCGAACAAGTGCACCATCAACGATAACATCTATTTCCACTGTTGCAAAAAGTAAAACAATTTTTCGAGCAGTAAATTGCTCTTTTGTTACTTTAATGAGAAACGGCTATTATGTAATTGCTCCTCTACATAATCCTTTACTTTAACGTTAAGAAACATCAGTATTTTTTTCATATCAATTTTAGGTACAAGTATACAGACACCATTCAAAACAATAACAACCCAAACAACAACGATCTCTCGAAATAGAATATTTTCATTGGGATCAATAACAGGAAACTCAGAAGAGAATTCAGTAAAATCAATAAATCAACCAACAATCTCTACCGTGGAACCAAAAGAAGAGAAAAAAAATGGTTATGCATCTGAAAAATCATCAGCATTCGGTTTTTCACGAAGAATATCATTAAATGGTGGGAATAATAACCATGATATTAAAAAACAATTATATGAGAATAGTGATAATAACAACGAACAATCATTGCAATCGATTACATCACCTCGTAGATCAGTTGTTGATACAGATAGTGAAGCAGCCAGGTCATTTACAGAAGTATGAAATACATTGAAGGATTTCATTTTCTTTTGAAAATATTTCTTGTTTCCATTGTAGATACGTGAGTTTTTTCAAAAACAACAAGAACAGCAGCAGCCACCAGATCGTTCTTCACTTCTTAAATCAACCGATTCATCTAATTCTCGTACGAATTCATCGTTGTTTTCTAGACGTTTATCTAAGCCAGAAATTCCTTCATTAACAAATATTCCAATACAAAATAATGATTATCAAAGTAGTAGTACCAATAACACCACACCTAATCATACATCGTTAAATTCTCCAAGATATGTTGAACATTCATCAGATTCATCGTTTTCTGATGAAGAAGAAGATTTTGACCAGGTTAGAAAACTGTAATTAATCGTTAATTTATCTTTTATTCAAAAAATTCGAATTTTGAATCAGTAATAGATGTGATAATAATAAGAAACTGGGTATTTATCTGACAGAAAGAGTATACTTGTTCGAACTTTGTTTTTATTACACTTCATTACTTTGTTTCACCGCACAAGTTTATAGTAGCTTGAGTGAACAGGAAAAAATGTATTTGACAATCTATTTTATTAATAAGTTACATAAAATTATTTGACACACGCTCATTAACGGAAGATGGTATGCATATTTAATCCGTTTTGTTTTTTTTAGAAACATAATGACTCATCTAACAGTGATCTAACAGATAAACTGTGCAAATGTATTGAAGAATTATGGACAACAGAGAAAACTTATGTTAATACTCTATATGTTTTATCATCTAAATTACCAGCTGAAGTAAAAAGATCGTGCGGTACCGATGATCAATTAGTCGTTCAATTTAATTCCACCTATAAACCATTACTCGGAGCATTACAAGCTATTTATAAACTTCATTGTGATACCATACTTCCAAAAATAACTTCATACGTTAATAAATCTAAAATATCACAAGAAACTGCCAATAGTAATGTATGGTCTGTTTTACGTGATAATTCTCAGTTTATATCAGTATTATACAAAGATTATTATGTACGTATTAGTGAATCACAGGCTAAACTAGATGATTTGTGCAAATCACATTCAAGTCTAAATGATGCCATGTTAAATGTACAAACAATGATGGGTAGTTTATATCCAATGACTCAACTGAACTGTCCAAATCAACGATTGCTACGTTACATATTATGTATGAAAACATATATGAAATATTTAGATAAAAAACCAAAAGAATATGAATTAACAAAGTCGATTCATGATGAATTAGATCGTATTGCATGTGATTGTCAAGAAGCTCTCACTGTATCATCCGTTGTATTGAATGATTTAAATGATCGATTAGATAATAAATTTGAATGTTATAAAGATCAACGAAAATTGTTATGGTGTGGTCCTCTAAAAAAACAATCACCAAGAACGAATCGTGAAGTTGCTCAACGTTATATTATCTTATTTTCTGATTGTATGCTTGTTTGCAACGAAATATCACAAAAAAAACTAGAAATAAAAAAAGAATTATCAATAAAAAATATGACGATAGATGAGAATCATTCAACAAATAACAATAATAATAATAATAATAATATGCCATTAACCATGGTAAATACAACATCATCCTTATTAACAGATTTGCCACAACAACAACATCAACAATGTCGATTTCGTGTTAATGCCATTGAAAAATCATATGAATTTATAGCTGATGATGAAAAAGATAAACAAATATGGATAAAAAAAATTGAACAAGCTATCGATGAGTATAGTAAACGAATCACACATATTGTTCCAAGAGAATCTCGTTCATCTATAACAGCGTCCAGTAATTCCAATTTGCTTGGTTTTCGGGCACCGACATGGGTAAATGATGTGGATGTTTCTAGGTGTCAACTATGCAACACAAAATTCCCATCATTTAATATCGTTCGAATTAATGTGTCAAATAAACACCATTGTCGAGCATGCGGAAAAGCTGTTTGCAATTCATGTTCATCTAAAAAACTAACACTCGAATATAATAAAACATTGGGTGAAAGTCGTGTGTGTGATGTATGTTATACTGAACTAGCAACACCAACAAAACACGCATCATTCACAGCATCGTCAGCACGAACTCAATCTCAAGGAGTTACACGTGATCCAGATCGAACAATATTATTTTCTGATTTTCGTTATGAATCCAAATCTATATGGATGGCATTGCAAGAAGATTTTATATTGCATATTTATGGTGCTCGATTAGATAAAGCTGAAGATTTTGCAATTAAATTAGATACAATTTGTGATTGTTTATGCGATCGCGAAACTTACACAATCACAATACGTGAAACAATAACAAGTAAACCACATGTGTTTGTATTAGATACGACACATCAAATGACATATTTTGATGCATGGTGTGAAGCGATTGAGGCCGCACGAGCATCTACATGTCCATCATGGTATACAAAAAAACGTGATAGTTCGGATTCGGGTGTTAGTACAAGATCATGATGTATTTATGGGTACCATTATTTAGGTACTTATTCCATTATTTTTTATATATTTATCTAATTTTGCAAATATCATACTCATATTAGTATTACTAATTTGTTTTTGTTACTCACTCATGTTGGGAGATTAAGTGTCAATTAAGCACAAAAACTGTGATTAGTATGTTCTTTTTTTTGTGCAATTTCAGAATATTTATACAAATTCCAATGGACAAATCTACTTTAGTTAGTTCTTTCTTCACTAATCGCTTAATAATTTTATTATTTTGTTCTGTTCTTTTTTTTTTGTTTATTTTTCTTCTCTATTGTCGCAGATCGAATGATTATAATATAATTACTTAAAAATAGCAGAAAATTTTTCTTGTGAACTGTTCGTCTATTCAATCACTCTGGCTCTCCACCGGTAATCTCTTATACTATTTTCTCAAAACTTTTTTCCATGTAGCTCTCATCCAATGAATACGTTAAGACATAGGCGATATACATCCTACTCTAATTTATATAATTTCCCTTATTCATGTTTTTTTAAGCTTCAAATAACAGAGCAAAAACGGATTTTTCCCTCTATACGAAAGAAAGAATTTTCCATCACATATTGAAAGTGCTAGAAAGAAACCAAACGATATTTATACGCTATTGTTAGGTTTTGAGCGAGAGGATTTGCACGATTGAGAGGCCATTGATACATATAGAAGTGTTTCTAACTCAGTTTACTAATGATATGAGTATAGATTAAGTGATAATATTCGTCTACTTTACACAATTGAATGATCTAAAAGCACAGGTAATATGGGATTTTTTTCTCTTTCATGATCCTTAATATTCGCGTTTTCACCTGTTTATCGAATAAAGTTTAATAGATGGGATTTTTTTTGCTTTGATTCTATCTACTTCCTCAAATTTCAAGTTTTCTCAATTTTATAGCCGGAGATACGTTTTGTTCATAATATTCAGACAACACCCATTGTACCTTTCTTTACTGTTTATAGAATTTCATGTGTCATTCTTTTTTACTTATCCAATTCTTTGTTTTCTTTTTATATAAATCTCATATTTGCATTTTGAATTCTGTTTTAATTTCATTCGATTGAGTTTTTGGTTGAAACTAACTGTATCCTGTGATTTTGATACCTGTGTGTTGATTTTCACATTACATATTTAAAAAAACGTCATACGTTGTAGGAAAATGTTAGGCACGATAAAGGAAACGTTTCCTTAGTCATCATCAAAACTAAAAGACACATATATTTGGGTTGCGTCAGACTCATTTTAGAATTATATACATTTTAACCCGCTAAGCTCGATCCAGAGACTCGCTGCATGAGTTGGTAGTGGTGGCTTCGTCTCTCTCTCATTTCGCGTTGCTCAAAAAGTAAAATTTAATATCTCATCAAATTGTAGAAAAGTAGGAAGTTTAAAATACTTTTGGGAAGCACCTCACGGCCACACGGTACGCGCAAGGTTTGGCCTGGTTAAATATCTCAGCATCATTCTCCTAGATGAAATTTTATTCATTTCAAAGTTCCTTTTCATTAAACACCTATATTAGCTGAAACGTTTTTAGTCAGTATCGTCAAAAAGTGGAACGGCTGTTCCTGATAAGGTTCTTGTTTCTTCGGTTTTATGATTGCTTTATAACAGCATACAGTTAAATCTTCTTATTGTGGGAATCTTGAGGACTTTCAAAAGTGGTGGAACAAGAACCTTTTTTTCAAAAGTCACTCATAATCTTATTAGTTTTTTTCTTCATCACTAAATAAATTCAGTTCAGTTAAGTTGAGGTCTTTTGCACAAGCCTCAAAACCCTAAAGATTTTTTAGAGTTGAACCTCATTCTGTGGAGTTCAAAATGTGCATCTTCGCATATCTGGCAATATGTCATAGGAAGATATGCGAAGACGCACATATTGATAATCCGTTGATTGATAGTTAAGTTCATCTTGAATATACTATAGTCAGAGCTGGAACCGGTTGAGAAACGATAAAACGATCCGGTCCGGCTGGTAAACTGACTGGTTGGAATTATAGCTCAAACCGGTGAAAATCTGAAGGATAACGAAAATGGCACTAATCAAACTGTGAGATTAAAGTGTGATTTTCTCAAAATGTGTGTCATCGCCAGACCTATTAGGGTAAAATACGATATAACAATAGTATGTTTAAGATGAACTTAACCGTAACGTAATCAACCAACGTGTTATCAATTGACAATTGTGTAGTTTATATAATATAATCGAAATATAATCGAAATTGGACAACGAAGAATTTACTCATTCAGAATCACTGTCGAAACAATTTTTAATCTAATCGATGACCTTTAATTTAGCTTGACTAGATTAAAGTTAGCACGCTTCGAATTTTTCTGCGCTGCCTCTACGGATAACATCGTTTGTTTAAAAGTCATATCATATGTGAAACAAGGATAAATGACAACAATCCACCTGTATGTATGAGAAAAGAACGAGCTACACGTGCAAATGTTCGATAAGAATCTTTCAAAGCATTTTCTACTTATTGAAGTCGTCTAATTATGAATCAATTCACTGACTACAATCTTGATAATATCGCTAGATATATGTAGAAGCATATGACAAACTTTGAATATTTATGACAAGTCAATCCTACAAACACATGATAAGATCTGTTCTTTGTTATGTTTCTGTTGCAAAAACTACTACTGTAGACATCTAATAATGTATAAAAAAAGGTATGAAAACTGTAAAAAATGAAAAGTCTTTGTGGTTACTGTAAGAGCAGCAATTATTTTGGTCAGTTATTGATATCTTGACGTTGATTTTGGCTAATTATGATCAACTGGTCTAAACACCTTGTTGATAGAACTGTCGAAATTCATTTTGATCTATTGCACCGTCCCTGTTACGATCTGCGGCCGCGAATGCTGCTTGTGCGGCATCAAAACCAGTCCCGGTCTGCTGATATGATTCAAAACCCGACGAAGCCGAAATGCCTGCACCACCAGCTAATGCACTATCGTAGCCAGAATACGCGAATTGCTGGCCACCAATTGAACCTAAATCTAGTCCTTGTCCTCCACTGATAACTTGAAGATTACTTAAATCATCACCTTGTTGAAGGCCAGTAATTCCGCTGGATGAGGCTTCGTAGCCTGATGATGTATAGCCAGCAGCTAGGGATGTCGCGTCAGAACCAAATCCTGCATTGTATGATTCAGTGTTAAACCCTGAAGAAAATTGCGATGAAGCCGACGCAATGCCGCCAGGTGGACTCTAAGAACAAAAGGAGTTGATCCTTTAGAATGGCGTATATTCCTAAGAAATCATTCACTTACAATATCTTCGATAACTCCAGCTTGACGAGCAGCTTGTAATAAAGAATGTGCATCTTGTAATTGTGCACCGTATCTCGCTATGTATGCTTGTGGATTTTCTGGTGTAACTCCTAGACGTTGAAACTGTCTTACAACACGAGCCTGGATTGGTTCATAAACAATGATTATATTTCTCGGTCTTGCATATTGTCTTGCAGCAGCAGCACGCTGAACAACCACTCGTCGTTTAGCTTGGGCCCCATACGGTATCCATCTTTCGATAATAATATCACCTAAATGAGAAAGTAAGATGTGACTAAATTTATACGATTTTAATAGGTTATTTCATATATTTGACTTAATACATACGGGGTTTTGGTGGAAGAGGCGGAAGACGCTCTATAATTACTGAACGCGGTGGTACGGGAATTGGATTGAGTCTTCTAATAATTGTTTGACTGGCAATTGATTGTGGTGGTTGAGGTGGCCTTTCACGCAAAATGAGTGGTGGTCTGGAAATGAAAACATTTATTAATGCGAAAAACATTTTATAGATAACTGTTAGCTAGTCATGAAGGTATTTTTTTATGTTAAAAAGATTGTTCTTAATACTGCGTCTGTCTCGATTTGAGTTTTCCAATTCAAAAGCGCAAATTGACTCATGATTAGATACGGTAGCACTGGTTTTTATTTAGGATTATCAAATCAACTTGGTTGGTTTTGTTCTGTTTAATCAGAAATTAGACTTTGATTTTGGAAACCCTGAATTTTTTCCTTTAAACTGTGTTTGTTTTTAGTAAACAATATTGTGTGATTCAATACAGTATTCTGTTGTACTCACGGACTCGGTAATGGCGGTGCTCTTTGACGTATAACGAGAGGTGGTGGCGGTGGTGGTTGTGGTGGTCGAACTTCTTTAATTATTAGTGGCTAAAATAAGTGGAGTGCATTAAATACAGAATGATAGAACATGCCAGTAAATAGAATGCCGATAATATTCAGTTTTGTTCTGAAAGATCTTAATCAGTCTTAGCAAACAACAATTGTAAATGTATATGTCAAACGCGAAACTATTTAATGTTCACAAATGTTATTTTTCCGAGGCTAACCATTAAGAAAAGTGAGCACTATGTAAAATTATGCTCAAAGTTATTAGTTAAAACAAAATCAGTATAAACTTACGCCTGGAGGAGGGACGGGTGGTGGTTGTAAAAATTTCACTAAAATATTTTGTTTATACGTGACAGCACCACCTGCTGCTGCACGTCGAATAATTTGAGGGTTTGGATCGTTAAATAGACCGCCAGCCGTTTGTGATGAATAATCAACGATTTTTGATTCAGCTGAAAGACCGCCAACTCCGCTGTACAAACCCCCTGCGGATGAAGAGGATTCGTAGCCGCTTTGTGTAGCGCTAAATGAACCGGCATTAATTCCTCCTGGTTGATATTGTTGCGATGATTCATAATTCGATCCGTATACGTTACCACTGGCTAAATTTCCATCTTCAAACCCCCCATATTGTTGTGAAGCGGAAACGTCACCATATTGTTGAGCAGAATATCCACCAACTGATGATGAGGCATCAAAACCACTACCACCACCACCTTGTACTCGTGCCCACTGCCGAAATTCATTTTGATCAATACTACCGTCTTGGTTGAAGTCGGCTTGAGAAAACATCGCTTTAGCCGCATCAAAAGTACCTTGTCCAGAATAATCGAAATTTGCCATTATTTATGTCTTACGTAGATGAGTGATGTCAATATACAGACAGGTTCCACAAGAAATGTTGCTCGTTTTTAACTGAGACTAATGTTCAATCAACCGTTTCAATGATCAAGGAAACGCTTTTAAACCCTTATCAATGAACAATACTGCGTCATTAAGAGATTTTTTTCTCTTCTTATTAACCGAAGTATTATCATATCGTAACATTGAACCTATACATTCGTAGAATAAATTAACTCGTCTCAGAAGGTAATACAGCCTTGCTTGTGATGATTTAAATAAGCGATAGCTATTAATATTTTAATCATTAAAACAAGGTTTAACTCTATTTTATATCGTCTAGCATTCATTCAAAATCCGATGTCATCAATATTCCGAAAAGTGTTAAATCAAACAGCTGTACATGGCTCTCTCCCTCCCATTTCATACTAGAAAGTGGATCACTATCTTTTCTTTGTTCGTTACCATTTACCAAGATGATTACCAAGCGATCAGATAAGTGGGTTATATCGTCGATAGATTTTGTTTATCTCGTATACAAAAGGTAAAGGATTGATTAAAGTGGTATCATGCCATTGTTTTTAGTGGAGATCTGTTGTTTTTGTCTATTTTCTCAAAAAATGTGCATGTGTCGATAGATTCACACTCGTAGGCATAGTTTACAACAGAAGAGCTTCGAGAAATGAATCATCCTAAACTTCTGCACGATTATTTGTATAAAAATTATTAGAGGTGTTATTTAAATCTACCTTCAGCTGAAGTCAAAAATCTAAATGGTACACATCGATCTTTTTGATTTATTAATATTTCTATGAAATGTTACCACTAATTGGTGTCCTTGCTACTCAAGATATAATAACTCAAGGTCTGTTCAAAATTTGATCATTATGGTATCTATGCTATTAAAAACGATCATTAGCAACATCTGTCTACGAGTCTATGATAGCATCGGTTTTTTTAAGCATCGAGGTTTATTAATATCGCTACTAATGTCTCTACGTATCTCTACTATGAATATCTATCTATAACAACTATAGATGGTTGACCAAATAAAAATAAAAATAAAATATATTCATTATATCTCTTATCTGTCCCTTCACTTTATCTGCAAAATTGTTGGCGTTGCGCTCTCTCTTCGCTAATCGATTAGGTATAAAGTGGTTTAGAAATAAATTTCTTGTTGAAAACGAACTAACTAGCAAAGTTGCTAGAAGAACTAACGAGAAGGTCTTATTTTGCGATGTATTTATGGACCTAATCGTCATTCGACTTATCAATCTTGTTTTACGACATTTTTTTAGAGTGTGACTTTGAAGTACACATCAGAAACTGTACCACAGCGTATAGCCACCTGGAAAATAATAGCTGCAGTCATTTTTTTAATATATCACCAATATAAAACTACATTTTAGAAAATAATTATATATTCTGATAGTGCTCGGAATTCTCTATCACCCTGTATATTTATGTCGTGACTTGCACTTATTTGCTGAAAATTATTTCAAGTACAATGAAGGCATCCTCATCGTCAGATTTCCACGAAGTGCAGTTTTTATTCCATTTCCTGCCGTTTTTTCAAATTTATTATGAATATAGAAATAACCTTTTATATATTCTGATAGCGCTTGAAATTCCCTATCGCTCTGTACTTTGGCACCCTTGACTTGCTATTATCTGATAACAGATAGTTCGAATATTGTTAATGTACCCTAACTCTCACACTTCAATGGATGGCATTTTATATTTCATCAAGTAAGTCTGGTACGTTTATTTGTAATCATACTGTTTTACTCAAGCCCACACTCTCAGCAACATTAACGAGGAAAGATCTTGAGATGTACAAAATAGATGTTTCAGTTTGTTTTCATTCGCATGTATA